AAACGTTGTACATTTTGCTGTTATATTAAAGTTTTTCTTCATTACCCATTCAAGCCGTCTCCAGCCATTATTAGTCTCAAAGTGGGTTCCTCGTCATCGAAATTTGGTAGTATGTGCTTATGTTAGGTGTAAATCTAGTTTGCCTAGCATCATCAGTTGGCAAGCTTTAATTGAAATCATACAATAATACAAAATTGTTATGTTACATGATTAGTAATAATATCACATCATTAAGCAATAATGTAATAGACTTTAACTGTAGCTAAGTAAAGAAAAGTTAGAATAAATATAATCATACGCCTGTATGTTTATTAATTTTATATTGTTTTCTTTGCCAGTGATTTGACATCTGAAAAATGAAAGAAGTGATTATGCTTAACCGCATGTTCAAATATTTGAGAAGGAGCTTTCAAATTTTCTTTCAATTTTGTTGAAAGCTGTTGATTTGTTTCTCTTAAGTAAGAACTACCACAGTCTTTACATTTGATTTGAATCACTGATTTTATGTGTCATTGTCAACAGGTTTTCTTGGTATGAAAGAAAATTTCACATTGAAATCAATGTCACAGTTTTTGACTGTATTTCTGAATGGTATATGAACATTTAATGATGTACAGCAAAACAGAATAACAAGGCAGATTTTATACATTTTATTTTTTTTTTCATTTTGATCTGTTGCCCATTTTATAGGAAGGATAAACTTCTTTAAGTATATCTACTTGTGTATCCATAGTAAACATGTATTTAAATTGACAAACTTTTCCTGTGGTTTTTTTCAAATGTAGATCTTTATTTTAGTAATCTTCTCTCTACTATTGTGTAGGATGACTGGGAGAACAATATTTTTGATATAGTACGTATAACCACTTAAACATTCTGCCAAGTATTTTGACTGTATAAAATAGATGCTGCTGAACAGGGGATTCTATTTACATATAGGAGTTACTAGAAAACAAATGAACTTGTTCAGAATGATATATTTCAAAGACAAGAAGAATTAAATAGAGAAGACAAATTTATTAAGAAAGTGTTTATAATTATTTCTTTTTGAAGCAAGTAAGACAAAATTTGTAATTATAATTGTACACTTTTATCATTATTTAGCCGTATAAGAAGGAATTTAGTGGAACTGTGAAACTACATATACTCTTAAGTGTGAATTTACTGTGTGTGTCTTCACAAAATGTGACAAGATTTTATCAAACATTACAAGTCTTTTATATACAAAACTAAGTATTATTAAAATGCACTTGTACAAAAGATTTGTCTGGGAATTTCTGAAGTCTTTACTGAGTTAGTCTGTGTGGAAGGTGATTTTCATACTAAGAATAAAAATACTTTAACTTAAAGTTTCATATTTCATTTTCATAAGCTGTAGAACCTCAAAAATGGATATCAAAAGTTTATTTATAAAACTTTGTATCTTATCTCTTACTATCTACTATCCCTAATACTAACTGTAAAGAAATCATCAATGTGTACAGTGAAGTGAAAATTTGAGATATAAAACAAAAGGAACAATACCATTTTTGAACAGAAAGTTACAATTTACTTGTTTTAAAACTTTCATCTGTGAAACTTTTTCACATCTGTTTTATTTTAATTTGTGGTTTTATTGCCATACTTTGTACCATTGGAACAGTACTTCTTGCATAAAAAGTAGTTCAGCAAATTTCTTTAGACTTAAAAACTGTAATGTTGAGTCTAACCCAAGGCAACACACTTGTGAAATGGCCCTGAAATTGCATGTTTCTAAGCACAATGTTTCACAATGGGCTAAGTTTGAAATGGTAAATATAAGGAAGGCAACTATCTGACAAATCCTTTTTATTTCTTTTTTTTACTTGTACATACCATGTTTTGAGGAACTGGTTATTTAATAGACATTTTGTTTTGATTACCGCAATCTTTAAAATGTATTTCATCACATGCTTTTCATTATTTGCACAGATTTAATTATTTGATAGTCAAAGCTACTTATAAGTTACTTGTATTACACTATTACTATAATACAGTGATATGTATAGTGTAAGAAAATTGACAAAACTTCCACAGAATTGCATGATGTTATTAAACTCATTTTATGGCACAAAGTTAGTTTGTTAACTGTTAGAAATAATAATAACAGTTAGTTGGTTAACTGTTAAAAATAATAACAGTTAGTTGGTTAACTGTTAAAAATAATAACAGTTAGTCGGTTAACTGTTAGAAATAATTGTAACAGTTAGTCGGTTAACTGTTAGAAATAATAATAACAGTTAGTTGGTTAACTGTTAGAAATAATAGTAACAGTTAGTCGGTTAACTGTTAGAAATAATAATAATAACAGTTAGCTGGTTAACTGTTAAAAATAATAATAACAGTTAGTTGGTTAACTGTTAAAAATAATAAAGTTCATAAGTAATTCACCTGTTGTAAAAGAAGGTTTTGAACTGATGGTCTGCCAGTTTGAAGTAAGAAACAAAAGAGTTTAAGGATATCAAAGTTTGCAGTAAAATTAGCACTTGGGTGTTTGCACCAAACTCTCTCTCTCTTATACCTAAAAACTTAAGAAGCTTTTTGAAAAATATTTTTGTTGATCCAGCTGAGGTTGATACGAGCTAATGTAGCGTGAACATGCAGTTTTTATCTGATTGTGGTATGAGATGAGTTATTCAGTAAGGGCAGATATGTTTCATAACTCAAACAAGATTAGCTGTCTCTAATTACATTCTGTGTCTGTAGAACATTGATATGTATAATTTATTGCATTTGCAGGGAGTACAGGCACCTTTATTCATATTGTGTGATCATGTTTTTAAACTTTTCAAAATATTTACCTCTCAGCTGGTCAGATTCAACGCTCTGGCACCAAGGAGCTTTAGTAAAACATGCTAAAGGACTTTTTAAAGCTGAAGGGCTGACTAATGCTGCAGAGCCAGGAAATGCCACTCATTCCCGATTTTTTGTAAGTTGTTTCATTTTTAAAGTTTTTTGTAGTAGTATTATTTAAACAAAAACATGAATGTTTTTCATTGTAATGCTTTATACAATCTACTAGAGTTAGACTTCTACATCTGTAGTTACAAGAAAATATCTTCACTTTTTGTTAACTTACTCATTAACATTGTTAGTAGTGTATGCAATAACCTTAGTCTATTATTAATTAAGTACTTTTAGTTTTGCTAAATATTAATTACTAACCAAATTTTATCCTATATTTTGGTTGGTAATCTACTGTCAACTTCAGGGAAGCCCTGAGAAAGACTGCTTTTATGATAGATTTACACATCTTGCTTTGGATAAAATATGATAAACATTGAGATATAAGTATATGAAGACAGTATTTTTGTTCCAGCATTAGTACTGCTAGTTTTGTTTACATGGAAGTAGGTGCAACTGAATAAAAAGCGATAATTAATGTTTAATTGATGATACCTTAATGAAATACAAATTTCAGTTCTTATATTACATATTGTATTTGAAACTTTGAAATTCCTATAATGGTGTATATTAATTTTACATACAAGATTTTATTTTTTATAATTCCTCTGTTTGTATCATTTTTTCTTCCTATTTTGAGAATAAAATGCAAAATTGGAACAGGCTGCTTGTGGAGAAGTGGTATCTCAAAATTTTATTGGTTTTTGTGCATCTTCACTCTGGCAATTACCTGACTCTCTTGGATCTGTAGTTGCTATTCATTGTTAGGTCGACTAACTACCAAAAGCTGAAACATGCCATTCAATAATTAATAAATCCTCAGGCTTGCCAGGAGTATGTTATTTTATTGTTGCTCAGTTGCAAGACATACAAACATGATTAACAGTAAATGATCAGTCTGATCACTTTGTCAATGGCTCAGAAACAGAGCAGATATCTGCCTGATCTGTACTGCTCACTCAGCTAAGGGGAAATGATAAAGCACATACTTAACACTGAACTGTGCAAACAACTAGCAGTTGAAGTTGGCTCCTTGATTCATATGGGTTTCTCTAGTTGCCCCAAATTGTATTGTCTCCTACTCAGCCAACATATCATGATGGACTGTACTAAAGTATCAACTGTTGGAGTAGTTTCAATTCAGTTGGTGAAGTAATTGATGAAGATCAGCACATACTGATTTCCATCATGAGTTTTACGCTGAGGACCAGCTATATCAGTGGTGTTGGTGATGGACAGCACTAAAGTATCAACTAACAAATAAACTTCAGTCCATTTGGTGAAGTAATCAATAAAAATCAGCACATATTGATTATCCTCATGAGGTTTAGGCAGATGACCAGCTATATCAGTGGTGTTGGTGATGGACAGCACTAAAGTATCAACGTGCTGATTTTTATTGATTACTTCACCAAATGGACTGAAGTTTATTTGTTAGTTGATACTTTAGTGCTGTACATCACCAACACCACTGATATAGCTGGTCATCTGCCTAAACCTCATTCAATAAAAATCAGCACGGTGAAGTAATCAATAAAAATCAGCACATATTGATTATCCTCATGAGGGATATAGCTGGTCCTCTGCCTAAAAA